GATCTTCAATATTCGAGAGATTATTTAGTAATAGATCCACAATTCCATCCACAATTGTATCTTTTTAATGATTTCCAAATTATTATATAATACAATTTATTATATAATAATTTTAATTTGTAATAGAGAATATATTAATATGAAGATAACAAACAATATTAAATTAATTGCTGATCATAGTAAACTATTAAATTCAATAATAAATTCTGAGAATATATGATGTCTCATTTTTCAACCCTCAACAATTTTAACATCGTATTCATTGATCTTCAATATTCGAGAGATTATTTAGTATTAGATCCACAATTCCATCCACAATTGTATCTTTTTAATGATTTCCAAATTATTATATAATACAATTTACTATATAATAATTTTAGTTTAGTTTACAATATTAAATTAATTGTTGATCATTGTAAACTATTAAATTGAATAATAAATTCTGAGATTATATGATGTATCTTCAGTTGAAATTTAATTATCGAAGTGTGAAATAATTCATATCTGTATCAAGTTTATTATACAATCTGGATGTTGCGGTTAGTTGCAGTTCCTTCCATTTGTTGCCAATGCCAATAAGTTATCGCCTATTGCAAATCGATATTGGTGCAAGTGTAATACAATAAAAGGCAAGCCCGGCCGTGTGGCGTGCGGCGGCAGTTTCTTGAATAACGATCATAACTTTTGCATAAAATGTAATTTAAGAGTCGATTGTGCGGCTCCAATATTATTTATATACCCGCGGATTCGCATAATTCACCGTCGTCGTCCATTACGACGGCTACCAAGACATTACTGAAATAAACATTTATTCAAATCGCATTCGATTCTAATAATAAAGCAATTATAATAATACACATTATAGGCGATTCTAATTAAAAGCACCGGGGCAAACTTTATTGCCTCGCATTCAATAAACCTACTCAATATCAATCAATTATCCACTTGGCGTGTTGTTTCTCTCCGTCTATTGCCTTTCATTGGCACAACACCATACGTTTTCATAAAGCCCAATCATCGCCACAAAGCTATCCAAACACAATGCTTTAATTTAATATACCAAGTACTTCGGTTATCTTTATTGCATTATATCAAAACCATGCAGTTTTTTTCTCTCTATAGATTAAATATTATGGTAACCACTTTATATTGTTTCTAAATCCAATACAAACATTGTAATTTGTCATGAAAAATACAAAGAGTAACAATGGAACATTATTGTAGTTTTAATAGTTTGCTGGACATAATATTTGACTTGAAATTATATAACAGAGTGACGTTGAAAACACGCTATGTATGTTGCATTGTAAATTATTTAACCGCGAGACGATCGATGCGCTCAGATTTTAATTAGCTATATTTGAGTATTACCATGTACACGACAGGCTAATGATTAAGTCATGGTTATTCTCTTGTCTGGCAGTTACATGCCCATGCGACACGCCGCCCGCCGACTCTGCGTTATTATTATTATATCATCGCTTATTCAATTGAGTGGGTAAAGATCCACCTGACACCTCGCCATGTATTGATATACATTTTAATGCGTTCTCTGACGAGCCAGATGTCTGACATGTAGAAAGTGTACTACACGGAGGAGTTGCATTTATAAGATAATCTTTTTCACGGTCCAACAGCGACAATCTTCTGGTCCATTTAAACACGAGATTTTTTTTTATTATTATTATTTTGTATTTAACCGTTTAATTTTAAATTAAAAAAAAAATCAGCGGAGAGATTGATTTGATCGATTATTAACTTGTTCTTAAGAACTGGTATATATTTATTTACTTAAATAGTACATCAGATATCAACTGTAGATTTGTTTATCAAGAACAAGAATTAATTGGATTTGTGTTACGATTATAATATTGATAAAAGACTATTACTTATTCCTGTCGTTACTTAATTTGACTATCATTCAAGAAAACTTCTTTTTTTTTAGTTCTTTCATTTATTTGAATCAACTTTTGCAGAAGTCTTCTCATTAGAACACTCAATAGTAATATGTAATGAAATTAGATAAGTTTTTTTTGTTTTTTTTTAAATACGTAATTATGTAAAAAGTAGTTAATATATATTCGCATTTATAACTATAAATTCTTCTTAGAAATTGTTATAAAGGGTGTCCCAAAATGCGGCAATTTTGGCGATTAACAAAGCCATCAAGGTGAAAATATGCTTCATCGCTTATGATGATTTTGCTCGAAAAATCAGCATCCACTTGTTGAAGCTCAATAATCCATTCAACACCCCATTTTTACTAACCCTAATCTCTCAGCTGTTAAATTGTTTATTTTTTGGGGTTGCCAATACTTTACTGCACAAATGGTAGCAAATTCAAATCTTCCATTAATTTTGGGACACCCTATATTAACATTATGAAATAATTTGTGACGTTTTACGTTTGTGATATTAACATTTAGTAACGGATAAAATCTTAATACAATTAATTTTGTAATACATTTTTGAAAGTTGTGTATGGGTCGATTCTCGGAAACCGCGGGAAAATATTTACACAACGAGAGAATTAAGATGTTTATTAATTATACCTGTACAGTATGTTGGTAATACATTATTGATGTGATTGTATAATGCATCCAATAAGTATTGGGTTGACTTGTCCCATTTGCTATACCCAATAGTAAAGAATTTCTAGTTAAAACTTAGTCCAATTTATAGATATTTAAGATAATGTAGGATAAATTGTTTAAAAACTGAATTTGGATGGATAAAAATATAAATATATTAGTTGGAAGATTGCTTGAATATATGTATTAATTAGTAGTGAATGTGTGCATATTAAGAAGATTGAATTAATATGCGCTTGGTGAATGGAGTGAATTATTAGTAAACTTGTCCCATTGGAGTTACGATGATGAAAACTAGTAGAAATCCAACGGTGGTTATAGTCTTATGTCGAGGGGAAAGCTTACGATCGAGTTGCCGCTATTGCATTATCCGTAAATATAATAAATATTCATTTATTCATTTGTAAATAGCCGCCATGATTTTTATTATTTGTTTATTTTCCGCCTTCTTTTTTTCTTCTTCTTTCTTTCTCTGTCCCTCAGATCGGGCACCTCCAATAGAACTCTTCAACCAGAGACGTTGTTTTTTTCTTCTTTCTTTGTTTCATTTGTTGTTTGAGACAGCAACAAATATAAATCTCCGTAGCACTTTCTCATTGGCAATCGTAGAAACATATACATTTTTATATATAAATTAAATTAATTATTGTAAACGCGCTATTTGCATACAATGCTGCTCTATCTGCTGCAAGTGTGACCATTCTAAATAGAAAAAGGATAATCGCCACAGGAAGTTGTTCTCGGATAAAATATATTTACAATCTTGTTCGCTGCTTGTTTTTGCGCCGCTATAAATGTGTTTAAATTATTCATGATTTAGCGGGAATTGTGTTGGACCACCCAACTTAAGCTGTGATCCAGTAACAATACTTGATTCGGATCAAGTTTCTTTGCAAACACATTCCTACACTGTAACTCGCTTGAATTGTCTTTTCTATTTTTATTGTCCTTACTAAATGGTACGCACAGTATTAACAAGTGCATAACTACTAAGGAAACACAATTTCCGCGACGTTTATTGTATATAAACCTGTGTTCGCTGCCATCGAAAATCTGTTACGAAATTAATTAATGAGCTGCTGCTGCGGCTCGTGCTGTGAATGTATAAATAATTATAATTGGAATATGCTATTCACGAAACCGTTTGGATCCTTATCCAAACGAAAAATGCCCAAATTTGTTAGGAACATAAAAATCGGAACATTTAAAATCAGGAAAGTCGACTTGAATACCAATATATTAAATAACTAACGCATAACGTTCATATTAATATGGGGAACAATCGAATGTAGCCGTATTTTTCCTGGTTTACTTTGATTTTTACCGTTTCGAATGAAGCACTAAATACCTCACTTTTTCGTTGAATCGTTTCAATTGAAAACTGTTTCTTACATTTTGTAACGTTTATTTTATTCACGTGAGTTTAAATGCGTTTTAGCTTAAATTTGTTTTGTACTGATAAGGATTTGAAGCCAAAAACATGACATGTTTCTAGAGGACGGAAATTGTAACATAAAGATAAGAAAATTGATATTGACTATTATTATCATTAATTCTACTACTATAGTTATTGTTTGAAAATGAGCCTTTAAATTATATTTTAGTTTTGTATTAGCTTAAATGGATTAGTATGTAATTAAGATGAATGAATCCGTAGTAGTGATACTCTGAACTTCTTAATTAAATTACGAACTGATGATCCAAGAAACCCAATTACGTGAGGTAATTGGCGTGCATCATTACCGTGTGTTTTAGAACTTAAATAGCGCTCTTGTACGATTGCATAACGCAATGAGAGAGTGTTCGTGCAGCATTCGAGAAAATGGAAAATTGTTTATGAGGATCTAATTTGGCGGCACACTTTTAATCCGCTCAAGGATGCGAACAATGCATCATATGCGGCTGTTGTTGATGATGATGGTTGTAATGTTGAAGTGTGCGTTGCGTAAGTCGTCCATATTTCACAGTAATGCAACGTGATTAATGCGGCATTATTACATTGTGTGCATGCACATGTGTACATATACATATCAACCAACTGGATTGAACGGCTTCTCGTAACGCAAACAATTTACGGTAAATCATATTCAAATGAGGATCGTGAAAATTATTTCATTAAACTCTCTCTCTCTCTTTCACTCTCAGATAGAAACATTTCCATCTTTCACTACGCATAGATTTACGAATTTGCTGAGGAGCGTTTTATAGGAGTGCATGAATATAACAGCTATAAAATGTTAATTTTAATAGGCGATAAATTGAAGATATGAAGAGCGTATCATTTGCATCTTAAGATAATTAATTATTTATTAAGACAGTTAGATGGTTCATAAAGTGGAGTTAGTTTTGTTTTTTTTTTCTATAGTGTTGTTTTACTAATTTTCTTGTTTTTTTTGTTACTGATTGCAGGTTGTGAAGGAAACGAACAGGATTGTACTTAACGCCTTAGACTTAGAAATAAAAGCTGTGAATTTGAGCGATGGACAAGAACCCAGCAAAGTGAATGTCTCGGCGGAAGATGAAACTGCAGAATTCACATTCAATAAACCATTGGCGGTCGGCAGTTACAACCTTAATGTTAAATTTAATGGGGAAATCAATGATAAAATGAAAGGCTTATACCGCAGCAAGTACGTGAACGAGATTGGTGTGGAGCAGTACGCTGCTGTTACGCAATTCGAGTCCACAGATGCAAGGAGATGCTTCCCATGTTGGGATGAGCCCGCATGTAAAGCCACCTTTGATATAGCTCTCGTCGTACCGCCTAAGCTTGTGGCGCTTTCCAATATGCCGGTGAAGGCGACCAAAAGCGTTGGTGATCTGATCAAGTACGATTTCGAGACGACGCCCATCATGTCCACGTACCTGGTGGCAGTCGTCGTCGGGGAGTACGATTACGTCGAGGATAAATCCTCCGACGGAGTGCTCGTCCGCGTTTACACCCCGAAAGGAAAGAAGGAGCAGGGTCAGTTCGCACTCGAGGTAGCCACCAAGGTGTTGCCTTACTACAAGGACTACTTCAACATCGCCTATCCTCTTCCCAAAATCGATCTTATCGCGATCGCCGACTTTAGCGCTGGCGCCATGGAAAACTGGGGCCTGGTCACTTACAGGTAAGCGCAATGGGGGAAAAAAAGGATATCAAACTTTCATTCCCACGATTCCTCAATGGCAAATAACAGAAAGGCGAATATTTGAAATTGTTTCATAAATTAATAATAACATTAAAGCGGTTTGGTTGCATTTCATTGTGGCGTTGTTGTGCAATCGAATTTCCTCGCGCAAACACCAACACGGGAAAAATAATAAACCTGCTCGTTGTACTGGAAAATTGCGCCAACCATTTCTCTTATTCCTTCGCCAACTCAACATATTATAAATATGCGGCATTGCACATATCGCGCGCTACACCAGGTGATGAGGTCTTTAATTCATATCCAATAATCGTACATTACTTATCCACCTACTCTATATTTGCACTCTATCCATTTCCTACTATCAATATAAATCCGACACAATATTTGCACCAGTTGAGCACTTCAAGTTTAATTATCGTAACATCAATGATAACTCGAGTGCTTTCTCTTATCAATCGTGCTGAAAGCTAAAATAAACAGCGAGAGATATTTATAATCGCGTCGATTGTTGTTCAAGTCAAAATCCTGGTACGTGAAATTCAAATTGAAATTCTTGCAAAACCTGATGAATATTAATGTTTGCTTATTCAATGCAAATAAATTATTAAAATATGATAATGCTGCGCTTCATCCATTTCAATTGCTTTAGTTTAGAAAGTATTCCTTTAAGCAGCCACATTCTTATTTCTTTTATATTATTTGTATAGGGAAACTTGCCTGTTGGTCGATCCCCAAAATACGTCGGCCGTGCGAAAGCAGTGGATCGCTTTGGTGGTCGGACACGAGTTGGCTCACCAATGGTTTGGAAACCTGGTAACCATGGAATGGTGGACCCATCTGTGGTTGAACGAAGGTTACGCTTCCTTCGTGGAATTCCTCTGCGTGAACCATTTGTTCCCAGAATACGATATCTGGACCCAATTCGTGAACGACATCTACATCAGAGCTTTAGAATTGGATTGCCTGAAGAACTCCCATCCCATCGAAGTGCCTGTCGGACATCCATCGGAGATCGATGAGATTTTCGACGATATCAGTTACAACAAGGGAGCTTCTGTCATCCGCATGTTGCATTATTACATCGGCGACGAGGATTTCCGCAAGGGAATGAATCTGTATTTGACTCGCCATCAGTACAAGAACACCTTCACCGAAGATCTTTGGGCAGCCCTGGAGGAAGCCAGCAAGAAGCCGGTTGGTGATGTCATGTCCACCTGGACCAAGCAAATGGGATTCCCAGTTGTGAAAATCTCGAGCAAGCCATCCGGAGACGGCAAAGGTTGCATCTTGAGTCTCGAGCAGAGCAAGTACTGCGCGGACGGCGTCCAACCATCCGAAGAGTACGTCTGGATGATCCCCATTTCTGTATCTACCTCTAAAAATCCGGGCAAAGAATCTGCCAGTACCGTATTGAAAACCAAAACCGGAGAAATATTTGTACCTGACGTTGGTCCGAACGATTGGATCAAAGTTAATCCAGGAACCATCGGCTACTATAGAACACAATATCCCACCGACATGCTCGAACGTCTTGTACCTGCAATCCGCGACCGCAGTCTACCTCCTCTTGATCGTTTGGGACTGTTGGACGAGCTTTTCGCCATGGTCCAAGCTGGTCACACAAGTACCATCGAAGTACTTAAGCTCATGAACGCCTTCGAAGCTGAAGAGAACTACACCGTTTGGTCCTCGATTAGTAATGTACTTACTAAGTTGGGCGTGTTGCTTTCACACACCGATTGCGATGAAGCCTTTAGAAAAGTAAATATATTAATAACAAATTGCATTTTCAATCATAACTTTATTAACGGTGAAATTTATAATTTCAGTACGAAAAGAACTTGTTGAGCAGAATATCAAAGCGTTTGGGATGGAATCCTTTAGCAAATGAGACGCATTTGGATACTTTGCTCAGAGGATTGGTTCTTGGAAGATTGGCTTGGCTCGACGATGAAGACACAGTCGCCGAAGCTAAGAAGAAATTTGAGCAGCACATCAGCAACGGGCCAAATCTGCAGGCCGATTTGCGCAGCGCTTGCTACAAAGCTGTGCTTAGGGCCGGTGACAAGGACACCTACGATACAATGTTGAAATTGTACCGTTCTTCCGATTTGCACGAAGAAAAGGATAGAATTAGCAGAGCGCTCGGTGCTACCAAAGATGTTGCGCTTTTATCGAAAGTGCTTGAATTCGCCATGTCTGTAAGTACTTCATATCCGTTATCTAATTATCAATATTACTGTGTTGTTTACCAGCACTATATTAAAACCATATGGTCAAGTGTTTGGTATTAATTTATTTTTGTTTGTATTTTTAGGAAGAAGTGCGCTCACAGGACACCGTGTTCGTGATCATGTCTGTTGCTATGACCAGAGTCGGAAGGGAATTGTCCTGGCAATTCTTCAAAGATAACTGGAAGGTGCTCATTGACAGATACCAAGGTGGATTCCTTTTGGCCAGATTGGTGAAGTTCACGACAGAGAGCTTTGCTACTGAAGAGATGGCCAGGGAGGTGGAGACATTCTTTAAGGAGCACAAGTCGCCTGGTACGGAGAGAACCGTCCAGCAGGCAGTAGAGACGATCAGGTTGAACGCATCCTGGCTGGCCAGGGATACCGATGCCATCAAGAAATTCCTCAGCTCGCAGTAGATTCATACTTACTTAAAATAATGTACTTTTTGGGTAATATATTATATTATATGCCAGTGACTGTACCTAATATTTTAATGTTTATAATATTTTGTATTATTCAGTGTTTATTGTAATTTATTAACTATAGAGAAAATATGAATGGGATAGCAGTCGCACTACTATTCTCCCGTTTGGATTTTATTATTTTATTTTACCATGCGTTCCCCGGTGGTATATTTCTTTATGAAATCAACTTTTTCGAACACTTGTTGCCATTTTTTGTTTATTATTATTTTTTTTAAAAGAAAATTATATTAACAATGAAGAATAAAAATGCAATTAAAAAATACTAGTGTATTCTTACATTCCAATTCAACGAATACTATCAAGTAGTTTTACCCTTATATTTCCTATTGTATTATATTTTTAAAGGGTTCAATTGAGAATAACTGAAGAAGTAGTTCATGTAAACGTTTCACTAAAACTTTTCAAAGAAAAACCGTATTCTCGTTATTTGGAACATTACTGATAATAAAACCAATTAAAAATTATTCTAGTAAACCGTTAATGATTACTTAAGAAACGAAGATAAGTTACAACATTACATTTGCATTTAAGTATAGTAATTATTTCTATATTTATGAACATTTTTATTTAATCCTCTCTGACAGCATTAATTAATTCGATGGATTGGTAAACTGTCGGTTCTGCAGGATCATGTTTGAACATCCAATGGACCAAAGGACTGATCAACTCTTTCCTTGGTAAATTAGATTTATCCTTCGATAAGTAGCTGAAACCTAAACCGGTGATGACGGTGAGGATTGTTCCAATTATGATGTAATAATAAAAAGTAATCCGGTATACGTAAGAAGGTTCATAATCATCGATCGACAAACTGGAAACAGCAATTTAAACTAATTATCTACAAAAATAAAATCATTTATATGTTTGCCTTATATTTTCGGTTGTATTGGTAATTATTTCGCATCCGTCGATTAATAATTCCTTCTGCTTGAAACGAATGTAACCAAGCTGTTGATAGTACTGAGCTACCACAAATATCCAAATCAATATTCCCATTGTTATCAGAACTCCATAAAATGCCCCCTATAATGAATGTAACCAAATTAAATGTTAGGAATCAGTTAGTAGTTTTCATACTTTAGCTTTAGCTTTTACGGTGAACATTCCTAAGATGAATAAACCCATCATCGGACCTGCGAATAAAGATCCGATACCCACCAAACTGGACATAATACTTCCTGCCTTCTCCACGGCGACAACTAAAGCCATCAATAAAATACCAATGAAGATTACGATAGATTTGATAATTACAGAAGATCGCTTCTCCAAAACATCTTTTGTCAGAAAGGAAGATACGAAATCCTTATAGATTGTGCACGAGAGAGAATTTAAACCCGCAGATAATGAACTGAAATGTTAATAAATAATCTTTAAAAAGAAGCTAACTTAATTTAAGAATTATTGTTACCTGAAGCTCGCACTGCAAATCCCGACTATGAAAAATCCTGCGATTCCTGGTATATTTTCGGTAACGTATAGAATGTAATGTATGGCAATTTGATCGTGAACATGGATTTCCCCGGACTTCACTGGATCGCAATGTTGGAATTTTGCGTAAATGATTAAACCGAACAGAATGAGCGATTCCATGAAGAGAAAGTACACCACTCCAAAAATGGTCATAGCTCTACAAAAAGAGTAATAATTTGCAAGTTAACTCATTTCTGCATTGTTTATAACAAATACTTCTGTATTTTCTTCACATCTGATAAACAGAAAGCCTTCTGTATGCAATGTTGATTCGTAATTAAGTATTGCGTCCAGTAGAAACTATAGCCCAGAGAAATCGTCCAGAAAGTGTCGCGTTTCGTTGGATCCGGGTCGAAACTGAAAATGTTCAATTACTGATAATTCATATTCAAAACAAATATATATTACTCTATGTCCAATCTGCCGCTTTTGGAAGCAGCATTGAAAACTTCAGCGAATCCGACATCTGTGAATCCCATGACTGCAATTCCTATGATTGTGCCAACCATGAACAACAATTGCAGAGCATCCGTCCAGATCACAGCCTTCAATCCACCAATTGTTGTGTAAAAGATGCAAATTGTTGCGATTGTCACAGAGAAATAATGGATATTAATCGAAGTTCCTGTTTCAATTATTGTTTTTATTTTTGTTAAAGTAAATAAATTTTAAAGAATTTAATTGATTTACCTCTAGAAATGATTAAAGCTGGCGCGTAAATGCTTATCGTTAAGAAAGAGAGCATTCCCATTGCGTACAAGAACGATGTTAATAATCGAACCCTTTTATCGAATCGCATCTCCATGTACTCGTAAATGCTCGTCAAATTGAGATTGTAGAGAACAGGATAAATGTAGAAGCTCATGAAACATATGCTAAATTGTACAATAAACGGCGATATAAATATCGTGGCTCCAAATTTGTAAATGTCGGCGGGTATAGCAATGAAAGAAATACCCGAAATTATGCTAAAATTAATAAACTTTAACGAGATGAAACTCTCGATGAATTAGCTCACCTTGCAGACATCGACATTGCGATTGGGATAAGCTTCATGTTTCTGCTACCCCTGAGGTACTGATCGACGGATTGATGTTTCGCAAAGTATCCATAATAAATCCCGATGGATAAACTGCCAAGCATCATCAGGATGATCAGGATGTAATCGCTCCATTTGAAGTACACGGAATTCGGTGCACCTCCGTGCTCGTCCATTGCGGTTAAAGGCGAAAAACAAATTGAAAAAAAAAACCTTTAACTAAAAATGAACTCAATATCTGCACAAACACATGATACGCAGTGTTGATAATGGATAGTTAAACCGAGCAAAATTTAATATTTACATAATTAGTAGTTTATTTTTCCGTAATTTACATTTCAGACAAATTTTAATTTACGGTATATTAAACTTATATTTCCTTGCATCACACTCTACACACGATTTTAATTATATTTGGGAGATTCTCGATTGTATGTTTATTTGGGTAAACCATGGATAGTTACACTACAGAGATACAAAGGTTTCTTACAGTATAATGAGTCCGAGGTATTAAGACACACGAAAATGAGAAGAGACAAGAAAGCCGTTACAGACAGTTATGTTGCAGCATATATACACCAAGCAGGTAGTACCCTTAATATAATGATCAATATAGAATTACTAAAACAATAATAAGTGCACATACCTTCTATTTTTGTTCATGTAATAATTCTATACTTATTAGTATTTTCTTCTCTTGAATCTTATTATGTACTAAATAGTTTATTCTCAAATCTTTATATATATAACCACTACCTCTCTTCTTTTATTGTTATCTCATTATAGATCATTATTACTTTTAATTATGTCATAAATATATTTAACAATTTGTTTTGTATTCATCGATGATTACCATTATTTATAATGTATAAATTTCCAAAATGGGAATCGCATTGATTTATACGATTGTAGTTTATATAACTTTAATCACATACTCGCAGTAAGAATATTCAAAATTTGTTTTTATTCTAATTAAATAGTCCAGAATTAGATTCGTTTATGTATTAACACTATCAATTTCTATTGTTATAACACAATTTGAAATTTAATGTTTTTTTTTAATATATTTTTTAATTTTTTGTATATTTTTTCAGCTGAAGAAATAATAAGTTGTTTTAATTTCAGTTATAAAGTTATTTTAATAATAAATAAAATATATCAAAATAGTCTTAATACTTGAGAATTTAAACTTGTGGAATTAAGTAAAAAAGTTTATAAACTTGGATTGCTGCATGATGAAATATTTATTAATTAATAACATTTTTTTTAAATCCAGACATTAATTATAACTTTAATACGTATTTCTCTGTTAATTGTATACATAATATCTATTTATTTGTGTCTATTGTGAAATTAATTATAATATATTTCGTATCAAAAACATACAAAAACAGGTAGCGAATATTGAACACAAAGATCAAGGACGTTTTTAATACTACTATAATAGATAGAATGGATAATAACTATTGAATTATTGCTGCAGCTTTTAGTTTGTAATTTCTATTCAAAAATGATATTATAAAAAAAAGTAACTGCTTTACAGTCTTCACATTCTAGTGTTTTTAGTGAATGAAACGTGTTTAATTATGAAATTACGACAAATTAACGGTCTAAAAAGCAGTGTTTACACGTTTTAGTGATTTTCACAGAAAATATGATAGATAGAATGGATATAAAAGATGCATATGAAACTTGGATATTTGGGAAATGTAGCAAGGGTTTATTATTGCTGTGTTTTTTTTTCCATTTTGCTGTAATTAAGTCATAAATATATCGATGATTATTATAAACTATTATATAATTGAGTATTATAAGATCGTATTATCAATTGGCTTTTCGTCGTCGTCTCCTTGGATCACTAATTCTGGTAGAATCCAATAAATCAAAGGACTAATATGTTCTTTGTGAGCTAAATGATATTCCTTTTTATATACGTAACTCATTATCATTCCAATAGTAATAGTCACAATAGTTCCAATTAGTGTATTGTAATGATACGATAATGTGAATATGTAAGGTGGTGTCCATTCATTGAAATCATTCATAGAGCTGCAAAGGAAAATTAGTTATCGGATTTTGTTAAAATTTAATTACTAGCGTTTGATATTGTTGAGAGCTGCTCAAAGTACAGTTGCATCCTTCAGTGCTGAAGCCCTTTGTTGGATATACCAAAAATTTGTTGACTCTGTAATATTGGGATCCCACGAAGATGAATACAACAGTAATTAATCCAGAAATGACACCATAAAATGCTCCCTGAAATCCTAGTTATAAATACGATATTATAATAGTTTTAAAGCTACCTTAGCATTAGCTGTGATGGTGAACAGTCCTAAAATAAATAGACCTAACATGGGTCCTGCAGCGATACCTCCCATGCTTACAATTGTTGGTAAAACGTTTCCCAAATTCTCCAAAAGGAAGACTAAGACAATCGAAATTAATCCAATCATAACACCGATTAGTCTTATAAAAGTTGGAGAGTGCTTCTTCCACTTTTCGTTTAAATTGAACGAAACAAAATCCTTGAAAATAGTGCAAGACAACGAGTTAATCGCAGCCGACATGGAACTGAAAATTAAAGATTTCAATTTAACAAATTTTTATGAATTTTTTTCTTACCTTAAGCTTCCACTGAAAACACCCGAAATGTACAACCCCGCGATTCCAGGCAAATGTTTCGTTACGCTCAAAATATAAAACGAGGCAATTTCATCTGGTCTACGGATTTTCCCTGAAGAAATCGGATCGCAATCTTTGAATTCATCGAATATGATTAAACCGAAACCAATATTAGCTAATGTGATTATGAAAAATCCTAAACCAAACAACATCACCGCCCTAAAAAAAATATACGAATTTCAGTTTAATCTCTGAAAAGCAATTTTGGTAACCAACTTCTTCATCTTCTTTACAGTTGGTAAAGAGAAACTCTTTTGCATGCACGTTTGATTCGTGACGATGTTTTGTATCCAATATGTCATAAAACCAATTCCGATCGTCCAAAATGTGTCACGTTTCGTCGGGTCCAAGTCGAAACTAAAATTGCAATATTTCTACTTAAAGTTTAGTTTTTTTTATTTGTTGTCTTTACTCCAAGTCGAGTCTTCCTGTTTCTAGCGAGGATTGGTAGATGTTGTTTAAACCTCCGGAATGCCACACGCCCATAAACATTATACCCAAATTTGTCCCAAGCATGAATATGAATTGCAAGGTGTCTGTGGAAATGACGGCTTTGAAGCCTCCGACTGTGGTGTAGAATATGCAAATCGAAGATAAGGCAACGGTGAAGTAATGGACGCTGAAGCCAGTTCCTAGAAATCAAATTTGTAATAGTATATTCAATGATATTGATTATTAAACCTTGCGATAACGAAAGTGCTGGTACATAGAGCATAGCTGGAAGAGTTGGCACCATGTAGAGGATGTAAAGAAACGACGATATGAGTCTCATCCTATGATCAAATCTCAACTCTATGTATTCGTAGATGCTGGTCAGCTTAAGATTATACAAGACTGGTAAAACGTATTGGCAACAGAAGAGTAAAGCCATTGGTACTAGTATAGGAATGAGGGCAATTGTAGCTCCAAAATTGTAAACATCAGCTGGTAACGCCACCATGCTCACTCCTGAAACCAAGCTGAAGTCTTCAAAATTAAATACGCGATTCTCCCAAACATAATATAGCACTCACCTTGCCGTTAAAGAAAAAGCAATTGGTATTACTTTCATTTTTCTGCTTCCAGTTAAGTAATCGTTAACGCTCTGCTTCTTGCTGAAATATCCATGGTAGATTCCAAGACACACACTGATTAACACCATGATCACGAAGAGGACGTAGTCGTGCCATTGGAACGTTGATCGTTGGAGCTGATGCTCTTGCAAATCCATTGAACAATTGTTCATGTTGGAGACACCTTATTCACGAATATCTCCAACGTACTGAACGTAATATGTTTTACTAAACACATACAGATAAAAACGATATATGTAATCAGGATATGCTTTTTTATTTAAATCAAGCTCGGCTACCTGTTTTCAGTATATAATATATACATTTGTTGTTGTTTTGATATAAAAATAGATTTGCTTCTTTTAATCACCTTTCAAGCATTTTGAATTTATCGCTACATTGTAGTAAATTTATTGTTGCAAACATATTTTAAATATTTTAAAATATGCAACGAAAGTTTTTCCAACAGTTTACCAAACTTAAGTTGTTTGCTAATTAAAAGATTATAAAAGCTCATCATATCATAACTAAAAATTAAGTAGAAAGTGCAGTTAGTAAAACATAGATAATTTTTAAATGTAACCACATACACATTCACAATTCGTGATATGATAACTATTTAAAGACTTATTTTCTTGGTAATCTTGAATTATTAACATAATATTCAATAATTTACTGAAATTTTATTGATTTGTCTTATAAAGGTTGCTTTGGTATACTAATTCAGGTAGCATACAATAAATCAAAGGACTAATATGATCCTTGTGAGCTAAATGATATTCCTTTTTATATAAGTAACTCATAATCATTCCAATAGTAATAGTCATAATAGTTCCAATTAGTGTATTGTAATAATACGATAATGTAAATATGTATTCATAGAGCTGAAAATGAAAATTAGTTATTTCAATTTATTAAACTTGAATTACTTGCGATTGATTTTGTTGAGAGTAGCTCAGAGTACAGTTGCATCCTTCAGTGCTGAAGTCTTTTGTAGGATATACCAACAATTTGTTGATTCTGTAATATTGGGAACCCACGAAGATAATGGTAACAGTTAGTAATCCAACAAAGACACCATGAAATGCTCCCTGGAATACTAGTTATAAAATCTGGATTGTCATAGTTTTGAAGCTACCTTAGCATTAGCCATTATCGTAAACAATCCTAAAACAAATAAACCTAACATTGGTCCAGCAGAAATGAATCCAATCATGACACTGATTAGTCTTATAAAACTTGGTGAGTGCTTCTTCCACTTTTCTTTTAAATTGAACGAAACAAAATCGTTGATGATGGTGCAAGACGAGTTAATCGCAGCCGACATGGAACTGAAATTTGTGGATTTAGATTGAACAAACTCAAACTGTCTTAATTTTTCATACCTTAAGCTTCCACTGAAAACACATGAAATGTACAACCCCGCGATTCCAGGCAAATGTTTCGTTACGCTCAAAATATAAAACGTGGATAGTTCATCTGGTCTACGGATTTTCCCTGAAGAAATCGGATCGCAATCTTTGAATTCATCGAATATGATCAAACCAAAACCGACACTAGCTGATCCTATTATTAAAAATCCAAAACCGAACAACATTACAGCTCTAAAAATACAATTTTTAATTCATCCCTTACAATATGTTGTAACTAACTAACATCTTCATTTTTTTCACTGTTGGTAAAGAAAACCTCTTTTGTATGCACGTTTGATTCGTGACCATGTATTGCACCCAATATGTCATAAAACCAAATCCGATCGTCCAAAATGTGTCACGTTTCGTCGGGTGTAAGTCGAAACTGAAAGTACATTTATTAGCTTAAAGTTTACTGTTTTATTTACTGATTTTACTCTAAGTCGAGTCTTCCAGATTTTATTGAGGATTCGTAGATGTTGCTGAAACCTCCGGAATGCCACACTTCCATAGAAATGATACCCAAATTCGCTACAAGCATTAATATAAAGTGAGCTTAAGATGATACAAGACTTGTAAAACGTATTGGCAGCAGAAGAGCAGAACCACTGGTACTAGTATAGGAATCATGACAATTGTAGCTCCAAAATTATATACATCCGCTGGTAATGCAACCATGCTCACTCCTGAAAACAAGCTGAAGAAGTTTTTAACATTAATTCAATCAAAATCAAAAATAATAGTATCCACCTTGTCGACAAAGAAAAAGCAATTGGTATCACTTTCATTTTTCTACTTCCAGTTAAGTAATCGTTAACGCTCTGCTTCTTGCTGAAATATCCTGAAATAGATTCCAAGACACACACTGATTAACACCATGCTTGCAAAAAGGATGTAGTCGTGCCATTGGAACTTTGATCGATGAAGCTCTTGCTCTTGCAAATTTATTGAACAGATATTCATGATTTACACTACTTTTTTTGTGAATATTTCTAAGTAAGTACTTATTTATAATAAGCAACAACATATGTAATCAGGACATGTTCGATAAAACAAGCGAGATTACATAATTTCGGTATAAAATATATTCATACTTTTTTTTGTTAGTCTTCATTAAGTCTTTTTTCGAGTATCCGTCGCCAATTTGTCGCGTACCCATAAAAATGTAGTAGGTCGTGGCTGTACTCCGGTATAATTTAAAAACGTTATTGTAGAAATTTCAATAATATCTTGTCGGGATTTTGACATAGTCGGGATTTCGATATAGACCTATCTGAAGATTATTTATCCATTCATTAAATGTTAATATAATTATAGGAAAATGAATATTGATAAAAATGTAGTAGGTTGTGGCTATATTCTGGTATAATTTAGAAACGTTATTGTAGAAATTTCAATAATATCTTGTCGGGATTTCGATATAGTCCTATCTGAACATTATTTATCCATTCATTAAATGTTAATATAATTATAGGAAAATGAATATTGATAAAAATGTAGTAGGTTGTGGCTATACTCTGGTATAATTTAGAAACATTGTAGAAATTTCAATAATATCTTGTCGGGATTTTGACATAGTCGGGATTTTGATATAGTTGGGATTTCGATATAGTCCTATCTGAACATTATTTATCCATTCATTAAATGTTAATATAATTATAGGAAAATGAATATTGACAATTTTATAAATTTATTGAGTATAAAATAGGTGTTTTTTTTCAGGTGATTTTTTGTCGTCGTCTTCTTGGTATACTAACACTGGTAACATCCAATAAATCAATGGACTAATATGATCCTTGTGAGCTATAGGAAATTCCTCTTTATACACGTAACTCATAATCATTCCAATAGTAATAGTCATAATAGTTCCAATTAGTGTATTGTAATGATACGATAATGTAAATATGTAAGGTGGTGCCCATTCATTATAATTATTCGTAGACCTGCGAATGAAAATAAAATGTAATTTTTTTTCAGTTTATTAAAATTTAATTACTTGCGTTTGATTATGTTGAGAATAACTCAAAGTACAGTTACATCCCTCAGTGCTGAAGTCCTTTGTAGGATATACCAAAAATTTGTTGATTCTGTAATATTGGGAACCCACGAAGATGAAGGCAACAGCAAATAATCCAGCAAAGACACCATAAAATGCTCCCTGAAATACTAGTTATAAAATCTATATTATCATAGTTTTGAAGCTACCTTAGCATTAGCCCTGACGGTGAACAATCCTAAAATAAATAGCCCTAACATTGGTCCAGCAGCAATGGATCCCATACTAATAATTGCTGGATAGACGTTTCCCAAAGTTTCCAAAACGAAGACCAAAGCAATCGAAATTAATCCAATCATAACACTAATTATTCTTATAAAAGTTGAAGAGTGTTTCTTCCACTCTTCGTTTAAATTGAACGAAACAAAATCCTTGTAAATGGTGCAAGATAACGCGTTAATCGAAGCCGACATGGAACTGAAAATTAAAGATTTCAATTTAACAATTTTTATGAATTTTTTTCTTACCTTAAGCTTCCACTGAAAACACCTGAAATGTACAACCCCGCTATTCCAGGTAAATGTTTCGTTACGCTCAAAATATAAAACGTGGTCAATTCATCTGGCCTACGGATTTTCCCGGAGGAAATCGGATCGCAATCCTTGAATTCATCGAATATGATCAAACCAAAACCGACACTAGCCAATCCAAATATTAAAAATCCAAAACCGAACAACATCACAGCTCTAGAAATACGAATTTTAGATAATCTCTCAAAATGCATGTGTACTAACTAACATCTTCATTTTCTTCACTGTTGGTAAAGAGAAACTCTTTTGTATGCACGTTTGATTCGTGACGATGTATTGTACCCAATACGTAATAAAACCAATTCCGATTGTCCAAAATGTGTCGCGTTTCGTTGGGTCCAAGTCGAAGCTGTAATTGCATTTATTAGTTTAAAGTTTTCTTTCTATTTTTATTGATTTTACTCTATGTCGAGTCTTCCTGATTCTAGCGAGGATTGGTAGATGTTGGTTAAACCTCCGGAATGCCAAACGCCCATAAAAATGATACCCAAATTCGCTACAAGCATGAATATAAATTGTATGGTGTCCGTGGAAATGACGGCTTTGAAGCCTCCGATTGTGGTGTAAAATATACATATGAAAGACATGGAAACTGTGAAATAATGGACATTGAAGCCGGTCCCTAGAAATCAAATTTGTTTGATAAAGCAAATCCAATGATCTTGATGATTAACCTTGCGACAAAGCAAGTGCTGGTACGTAGAGCATAGCTGGAAGAGTTGGCACCATGTAGAGGATGTAAAGAAACGACGCTATGACCCTCATCCTCTGATCAAATCTTAACTCTATGTATTCGTATATACTAGTAAGTTTAAGATGATACAAGACTGGCAAAACGTATTGGCAACTGAAGAGCAGAACCACTGGTACGAGTATGGGAATCAGGATGTTTGTAGCTCCAAAAATGTATATATCCGCTGGTAACGCCACCATACTAACTCCTGAAACTAAGCTGAAGAAGTTTTTAAGATAAAACACGTGATTCAACTGAACATAATAGCACCCACCTTGCCGTTAGAGAAAATGCAATTGGTATCACTTTCATGTTTCTGCTTCCAGTTAGGTAATCGTTGACGCTCTGCTTCTTGCTGAAATATCCATGGTAGATTCCAAGAAACACACTGATTAACACCATGATTGCAAAGAGGACGTAGTCGTGCCATTGGAACTTAGATCGATAAAGCTCTTGCTCTTGCAAATTCATTGAAGAATTCTCCATTATGTTTTTTTCAGCGAATACTTTCTCCAAACTAAACCTAATATTATAAACACTAGCAAGCAAAAACATTTATTTATATATCGTCATTACTTATTTAACATAAGTACGATAGCGTGGTTTTTTGTAAGTTTTGGTTATTATTTATTTTAATATTTATTTCCATGATAAACTTTTATTTAAATTTGCTCATTTATTTCCTTAATTGCTTTTCAAATAAATCATTTCATATACAGTGAAACCTCGAGTTTAAACCGTTCCAAAATTTCCGGACTTTTACTAGTATAGTAAACATGGTCGTTTTTCTTACAATTCATATTGTTCATTAAGCAAAAGCTCCTTATGTGACTTTTTATGATTTCATAAATTTTCTATTTGTTATTCGATTTTATTCTACTTGTTGACGTGAATAAATACGCAAATGTGAAGATAAGCGATATTTTTTTTTATAAAAAGTTTTAATCATTCAAATTTAATAACAACCTACGCAAAAGTTTCCATTGTTTTACCAATTACCAAAAAGAAAAACAAATTAAGAATAAAATAATTGCAAATATTGTTTCAGTTTTCTAAAATATCATGTAAAATTGCAAATTTTCAATGTGATATAAGAAAAATGTTTGTGTTTTAAGATTTTGAAAAACTTTTATTTCAAAAAGATACATATGTGAAGAAAAGCGATATTTGTTTTGTACAAATTAATAATACAAATCTAATAATTATATCTAATTATGGCGATGATCTCATTGGATTAACACTAAAGTTAGGAAAGTCAAATTTCTTAAGCAAATTGAAAAATATCCTTAATAAAATTGAGAAATTTCAAACTTCTACATTAATTGTTTACTTTAAACGAGAATAATAAAGAAATTCCATAGTTTTGCCAAAAAAAAATAATAATTAGAATCAAAAAAATTGCAACTATTGTATCAGTTTTCTGCATCAAAATATTCATGATCATGTAAAACTGCAGATTCTCAATATGAAATTGGAATAAATATGTTCAAAATATTTAAAAAATTATTCAATTATGGATTAACACAAAAGTTAGGAAAGTGAAAAGTCTTAAGAAAATTGAATAAGAAATAATTTCCATTGTTTTACCAATTACCAAAAAATAAAACAAATTAAGAATAAAATAATTGCAAATATTGTTTCAGTTTTCTGCATCAAAATATCATGTATAATTGCAAATTTTCAATGTGATATTTGAAGAAATATGTTTGTGTTTTAACGTTTCGAAAAACTTTTATTTCAAAAAGATACATATGTGAAGAAAAGCAATATTTGTTTTGTAAAAATTAATAATACAAATCTCATAATTATATCTAATTATGGCGATGATCTAATTGGATTAACGCTAAAGTTAGGAAAGTCAAAATTCTTAAGCAAATTGAAAAATATCATTAATAAAATTAATCGACAAATACAGAAATTGTTTACTTTAAACGAGAAAAATAAAGAAATTCCATAGCTTCACCAATTACCAAAAAAATGATATTTAGAATCAAAAAAATTGTAAATATTGTTTCAGTTTTCTGCATTAAAATATCATGTAAAATTGTGTTTTAACATTTTGAAAAACTTTTATTTCGAAAAGATACATATGTAAAGAAAAGCAATATTTGTTTTGTAAAAATTAATAATACAAATCTCATAATTATATCTAATTATGGCGATGATCTAATTGGATTAACGCTAAAGTTAGGAAAGTCAAAATTCTTAAGCAAATTGAAAAATATCCTAAACAAAATTGAGAAATTTCAAACTTCTACATTAATTGTTTACTTTAAACGAGAATAATAAAGAAATTCCATAGCTTTACAAAAAAAAATAGTTAGAATCAAAAAAATTGCAAATATTGTTTCAGTTTTCTGCATCAAAATATTCATGAGCATGTAAAATTACAGATTCTCAATATGAAATTGGAATAAATATGTTCAAAATATTTAAAAACTTATTCAATTATGGATTAACACAAAAGTTAGGAAAGTGAAAAGTCTTAAGAAAATTGAATAAGAAATAATTTCCATTGTTTTACCAATTACCAAAAAATAAAAAAATAAAGAATAAAATAATTGCAAATATTGTTTCAGTTTTCTGCATTAAAATATCATGTAAAATTGCAAATTTTCAATGTGATATTAGAAGAAATATGTTTGTGTTTTAACGTTTTGAAAAACTTTTATTTCAAAAAGATACATATGTGAAGAAAATCAATATTTCTTTTGTAAAAATTAATAATCTAATTGGATTAACGCTAAAGTTAGGAAAGTCAAAATTCTTAAGCAAATTTAAAAATATCCTTAATAAAATTGAGAAATTTCAAATTTCTACATTCATTGTTTTCTTTAAACGAGAATAATAAATAAATTCAATAGCTTTACAAAAAAAATAATAATTAGAATCAAAAAAATCGCAACTATTGTTTCAGTTTTCTGCATTAAAATATTCATGATCATGTAAAATTACAGATTCTCGATATGAAATTGGAATAAATATGTTCAAAATATTCAAAAACTTTTTATTTTAAAAAGATACATATTCATATATAAATAAGTACAAATAAATACTGCTCAAACGTTGTCTTGGCCTCTCTTCAAGGGAATTAGCGTGTACTGTTTGTCAACGACCTCCTGTTTATAGATGCCGCGTATTAAAGGACTCAACAATTTCTTATCCACTTTGCAATTATCGCTCCTAAAGTACAAACTAATTGGCACTCCTATCAAGAAGACGAGAGCTGCACCAATTAGCGTATTATAATAATGCGATATACTAAATATAAACGGCGCTTCGTTACCGAACGTTTCTCGCCTGAAAAGAACAAAGAACTATAGAACACGTTTTGATAATAGCCGTTGTTTTTATTACCCGAGGGTGGTCACATTGAATGGATGAATGCATCCCTCCGTGGATAAAGGTTTCGTCTCGTACACCAAGTTTTTGCTCATTTTGTAATACTGCGATCCGGTAAAAATCACAACCATAGTTGATAGAGAGCCTAAAATACCGCACAAAGCGCCCTGAAAATATATACAAAAAAAAATATGTAGCTACGAAATTATGTAGGAGTGAATGATTACTTTCGTGTTGGCGAAAGGAACAAACATTCCTAAACAGAAGAGCCCCAAAATTGGACCAGCTGAAACTGCGCTGAATCCGAACATCACCGGTAAAACGCTTCCCATCCTCTCTATAACGAAGACTAAGCCAGTGCTTGTTACTCCGATAACAACGACTATGGACTTCAAAATCAACTCGCTGTTCTTTTGGGAGAATATCCTCACTTTACTAGACACTAAATCCGTGTAGATGGTGCAAGCTAACGAATTCATAATCGCTGATAAAGAACTGAAAATAATTTATATTAAGTTTGTTGATGGATCAATCATTGAAGTTACCTTAGAGAAGCGCTGAAGACTCCAGCAATGAAAAGTCCGACGAAGCCTGGAACGTTGTTGGCCACGTGCAGGATGTAGTAGGTGACTAATTGGTCATGTGCTTGGATTTGCTTGGAATTGAAAGGATCGCAGTCCTTGTACTGCGAGTACATGATCAAACCAGTGTAAGCTCCGGTCGTGTAGATCAATGCGATTCCCAAACCGAAGAGTATAAATGATCTAAAAATAAAATCAATAATATCATTAAATATAATTTACATCATAAGTGATAAGTTATTGAAATACGAGGAATGTATAAAATAATCGAATTTGTATGAAGAATAAATGAGAAGAGAGCAACCGGTTATATATACATTAATGCAGCGTTTTCCAAACTGTGAGGGGAGGCGCGAATATTAGTAGCAGTGAGCAATTTTCCAAATATCTGCTAAAGTATAGATACATTCCTGTGCTCTTATCCATATTGCTGTAATACAAAATTTTTTTTGGAATACGCGTTCAAAGTTGAAAAATTGAAATTAGAACGTTCGAAAAAGCAGTGTTTTCATTGATTTTCTCGAAAACTATAATAGATAGAATGAAGCTAATAGATGCATATGAAAGCTGAATGTTTGG